ATTGTTATAGCCATAAATAAATCTTTCTGACTGATTTATTTTTACCACAACTTTATATTTTATAATTAGAAATGACGATATTAAAAACATCCACGTTTTACTCCTCCTATCGGTGTGTACCTCTTTGGTTTCCGTGGCGATATGTCGATTGCAGGTCCAGGAGCAGGCATGTCCATGGGAAACATGTCGACCCACATCTCAATCCGACCCTTCATGGGAAGAACATTATTTGTGATGATTAAACTGCTTTGTTTGATGGTTAAACATGGGGACTGCCTCCTACCTGTTCGATTCCAGGTTTGTCGGGGTTCAGCAGGGGTCTCGTCTCCACGTGTTCAGGAACAAGCTTGCAGCCAACTCTGGGGATTTCCTCCCAGTGGTTCAATACTGTCAAGGCTAAATGCTCCTCGGTTTGCTTTTTCAGACCTGAGGGATTCAAACCAAAACAAAAGGGGATGAAAAGAGGAGAAAAACACAAAACAAAACATCAAAGTGCATGAAAACATGACATCAATTATATAGTAAAAAGTTTCTTAAATCAGAGGCAGTCAGTGTGTTTACATGTACATCTAAGTTGATCCGGGATACTAAGCTGGGAGTCTTTATCCTAGCCTACATGCACGTTAGAAAACCAAACTTCAAAATGCACAGTTGTTAGTGACATGTTGTTATTTTTATGGTTAGCTTATAACAACACAGAAAGTAAACAAACACTGGCAGGCGTGAAGCAGACGTTAAAAGAGGAAAGCACATAGCCGAAGGAATGAATGGACAAAAGCAACACGGCAGCACAGCTTATTTGGTACAGTACTATCTGGTGGTGTTACGCAAGTTAAATTGTGTCGATGATATTATCAGAAGATTGGTTCCTCTGTCTCGTTACCAGAAGTTACCGGTTTCAGCTCGACTGAACTGTTTACATGCAGATGCAGTCGCGTTATCTGGGTGCTTCCGCCCAGTGAGAACCAGTCTGCCTTCAGCATGGCTAACTCCAGAGGTGCGGACTTGAGTCACATGACTTGGACTCGAGTCAGACTCGAGTCAGTGTTTTAATGACTTTTGATTTGACTTGATAAAATCTATAAAGACGTACGACTTGACTTGGATTTGAAGACCAATGACTGGCGACTTGATTCGACTTATATCTGTTGACTTGATGATGACTTGAGCATATTTGGTTTTTTAGCACAAAAGTGGCCCGACATGGACAAATATCATAAATCCCTCTTCGTCCTGGGTTTGAGTTTGTTCTGCTAAATGCAGCAGCACTTTGTTTACAATCAGTTTCAGTTGCACTTTGTGCTTGTTTGGGCAAATAAATTAAGCTTTAAGAAGATTTATTTCCGGACTTTATTTATTATCATCGTTATTAAATTGAAGTTGGAAAAATGACTGGACTTGAAAATTCAAAGTTAAGGACTTGGACTTGACTTGGACTTCCACATCATTAATTTCGAGACTTTAATTTCGAGTCTTGACTGGAAAGACATGTGACTTACTTGTGACTTGCGAAGCAGTGACTTGGTCACACCTCTGGCTAACTCATTACATGCATTATAAAGCATCGGTCTATTTAGGGCAGCAGTTTGGTTTTCTGATGCACATGTAAACACACTGACAAGGGCAATCACAGCTGCTGAACTGCTGAGATGGTTAAAGCAATCATTACATAGTTATAAAACTCTTTTATATGACGTCACAAATGCAGCAGTACCGTTTTCATCCTCTATTTCTGTCGGTCCTGTAAAGATTCGATTTGCCACCTTGACTTTGCCTCCCGGGCCGTAATGAGGTCCATCAATCTTAGCATCCTTGCAAAGCTTAGCCAGGATCTGGCTGGGCTTCAAAGGGTCCCGCCAAATGTTGTATCCGTGTCTAACATCAACAGGTGACAGAACAGTTTGTAAGATTTCCACATGCAAATTAAACATTAAAACATGGATTCCAGCTGGGAATAAAGCCCCGTACCACAAAAATCCTGCATTAAAGTTCTAGTTCACGCTGCTGTGGCATCGCTATCAATAAAAACAATTACGTTAAAGCTTCAAAAAAACACTCCAAGAGAAAAATGTATTTAGTGATTTACACAATTATTCAAGTTGTTGCTCACACGGAATAATTTGATGAAATGCCACAAGTGGCTCGGAATTTGCTGTAGAATCGATTCTCCAAGTCGATCTTTGTCTCTCCGATCAGGTCATCAGTTCCGACCAGATCCCAGTCGTACACAGACACAGTCAACATGGACTCCATGGGGAACGTGGCTTCCATGTCAAATGATCTGATAATAAAACAGCAGGATTTAAAAAGTGTGGCAAACTTCAAAATGCTGCAGCATTAAAACCAAAAGCAGGATTGACTAATTCCACATTTCATGTCTGCTTTAATTCAATCAGTTGACTTTCTGCTTTTAAATCAAGACAAGACTAAATGAATGTTAAAATAAGATATGTCCACTCACTTTCCAAAAACAGGATTAAGCTGCTTTGAAATGTAGTTCTCCTTATCTTTGATCTCCGACTTTCCCAGTTTGATGACAATGTATGGATCGGCCTTCCCGTTGATGTCAGCAGGGTGAAGGTCTGTGGCCTGAGAAGAAAGAGAAAAGCAAACTCGTGCTTTGAAGGATTTATTATTGTAAACTTGAATTGTACAAGCAGGAGCCCCACCCACCCGGACCACGTAGACCCGAACGAGGATGTTAATGGGATCATTATGCGGAATGCTCTGAAACATTCCCATATTAGGATCAAATCCTGCCTCTCTTGTGATCTCCTGAGATAGAGGTAGCTTGTACATACACAGAGATCCCTGCATCAAAGATTAAAACAAAGAATTATGTATGTGATGTGAAGTGTGTGTGTAGGCTTAGTGACGAATGTTTCCACATTGATGTTCCTACTTTGAATCTCCCTACGATCCTGTCGTCATCCAGAGCGTGTTCGTCGTCGTCTCCAGCTTTTCCTCTGTACAAGTTGAACGTATGAAGCCAGTCTTCAAAGCTGCCATACTCGCTCTCCAGCTCCTTGTTGTACACCTTCAAGCAGTTTTACGTCAGTTACCTTCAGGATGCACATCGTCTAACTTGATGCACGATGCACTCACCAACAACTCGTCCACCTTGGGTTTAATCGGTCGTTTCTCTGAGCAGTCTGCAGCCTGACCCTTCTTCTTGTCCTTGGAGCTCTTCTTCTCTTTGCTTTTTTCCTTCAACTTAGAGCCTCTTAAAAGAAAGTCATCGGATCTGGAATCTGTTCAGATGGGTGAATCGTACAAAGCATGATTCTTCTGAGGAAAATCTGTAAAATAGTAACATCTACCACGATAAACCAAGATTACACCAACAAAGACCGATACATAAAAACAAATCATGACCAAAATGTGATAATCTTCTTAGAGGTTATTAATTATCATAACAAAGTGCTGAATTAGCCAAAGATGTGTATTAGATTGATTAGATTGTACTCTTCTTGTAAACATTGTGATGCAAGCAAGTCGTCTATCTTTTCAAATCCTATTCCACCATCTGTGCTGTTGAGCTGGTAGGCTGCTTTGTTACATTAATGTGATTCTAAATATTTCATAGTTTTACTTCATTCAAAGCACAAAAGAAGGATGGCAACAGTGTGTGAAAGAGAAGAAACAAAATCTGGTACCTCTGAGGCTTCTAATAACCTAAAAGTCCATCCTGAAGGAACCAAGCAACCAGTTCAGTAGGACCAGTTTTTGTTGATAGATCCAAACTTTAACTGATGCATCTTTTAACCATCCGCTGACATTTGAGTATACAGAGTGTAATGACAACATTGTCATAGTAAATAAAAGCTCTGGGAGTGTCTTCAAACATTGGATTTTTAAAGGAATGAAATGACATTAATATTGATTCTGATTGTGGGTTACTTGTGGAATACCACGGGGTACAGTGCTTGGACCACTTCTTTTATATATATATATATATATATATATATATATATATATATATATATATATATATACATATATATATATATATACATATATATATATATATATATATATATATATATATATATATATATATATATATATATATATATATATATATATATATATATATATATATATATATATATCCGGAAAAGGGTGGCTTGCCACCTCCGGGTCGGGGGAGAGGTCCTACCTCAAGTGGAGGAGTTTAAGTATCTCGGGGTCTTGTTCACGAGTGAGGGTAGGAGGGATCGGGAGATCGACAGGCGGATTGGTTCGGCGTCTGCAGTGATGCGGACGCTGAGCCGATCTGTCGTGGGGAAGAGGGAGCTGAGCCAGAAAGCCAGGCTCTCGATTTACCGGTCGATCTACGTCCCAATCCTCACCTATGGTCATGAGCTTTGGGTAATGACCGAAAGAACGAGATCGCGGATACAAGCGGCCGAAATGAGTTTCCTCCGTAGGGTGGCCGGGCTCAGCCTTAGAGATAGGGTGAGGAGCTCGGACATTCGGGAGGGACTCGGAGTAGAACCGCTGCTCCTCCGGATCGAAAGGAGCCAGTTGAGGTGGTTTGGGCATCTGGTCAGGATGCCTCCTGGACGCCTCCCCGGGGAGGTGTTTCGGGCATGTCCTGCCGGTAGAAGGCCCCCGGGTCGACCCAGGACACGTTGGAGAGGTTACATCTCCAATCTGGTCCGGGAACGCCTTGGGGTCCTGCCGGAGGAGCTGGTGGACAAGGCCGGGGAGAGGACGGCCTGGAGCTCCCTGGTTGGGATGCTGCCCCCGCGACCCGGACCCGGATAAGCGGAGGAAGACGAAGACGAAGAATATATATATATATATATATATATATATATATATATATATATATATATATATATATATATATATATATATATATATATATATATATATGCTTCAAATTGGTAAAATCATTAGACAGCATGGAATAAACTTCCACTGCTATGCTAACGATACTCAGTTATATCCATCCATTAGCCCTGATGAATCGAATCAGTTAGGTAGATTACAGGCTTGTCTTGAAGACATAAAAAGTTGAATGACTCAAAACTTTCTGCTTTTAAATCAAGACAAGACTAAAGTTCTCATCTTTGGACCTGAAATTCAGAAAAGGAAATTGCTTAGTCAATCACCTGACCTGAATTGCATTAAATTCTTCTCTGAGAACAAAGCAAGGAACCTTGGTGTTATCTTTGACCAGGGCATGTCATTCAAATCCCACGTTAAACTGGTTTGTAGGATTTCCTTTTTCCACCTTCGGAATATTGCTAAGATTAGAAGCATCCAGGAGCGATGCTGAAAAACTAGTTCATACATTTATTACATCAAGACTGAATTACTGTAATTCATTACACTGAAAAACAGCAATTGGCTAGTCTTTAAATATACTAAATCATATATTGTAGTTGTGCACAATTTATACATGTTTCTTCTGTATACATGATTTATTGAAGTAGACTTGAGTTATTTTTCCACAATGTTAAATGTACAAAATTTTCTTGCATTGACTAAAAGTGATTACATTGCCCAATTTAAATCATTATAATCATGTTCAACTAAAACCGGAAATGACACTGTTCAAAAAAAGCGCCATAAAATATTATTGGACGATTGAAAGCGTTTTCAGCCAATTATGATCACCCAGCAAGATTGGAGGAGGAGACGGGTGTAACCACCTGCAGCAGAAGCCTGCAGCTCTTTCCTTCGCATGGAGCTAATGTGGAGTCTGAGTAAGCACGAATGTCAAAGTGCTTCAAATGTCAAGGTGGCTGACTGGAACTGACGCCGCATGGCTGCCGGTGTCTGTCGTGGTGGCAACCCCTAAGCCCACTGGTGGACACCGTAAAAACAATAAAAATACATTCTTAGCATAAAAGAAAAAAAGATTTTGCCCATAATTTTACAGTACCATTCAGGCAACCTCGGCTGCCGGTGTTTTACTGTAAAATCTACATCTTTTTACAGTGCAGGTGCAACCAAGGTGTTGAGGGATCCATTTTGGTGGCCTAAGGATCAGGTCTCTGCTTTTTCCAGAAGATGTGGTCCTGTTGGCTTCATCAGACAGTGATCTCCAGTTTTGGCTGGAGTGGTTTGCAGCCAAGTGTAAAGTGGCTGGGATGAGAATTAGCTCCTCTAAACCTGAGACCATGGTCTTAAATCAGAAAAGGGTAGGATGCCTTCTGCAGGGCAGAGACAAGGTCCTGTCTCAAGTGGAGGAGTTTAGGTATCTGGAGTCTTGTTCATGAGTGAGAAAAAGTTGAAAAGCAAGATCGATAGCCGGACTGGTGCTGTGTCTGCAGTGATGCGGGTGTTATACCAGTCTCTCAAGGTGAAGAGATTTACTGGTCGATAAAATGGCCAAAGCTCGGTCATCTGGGAGGGGCTTGGAGTAGACCCGCTGCTCCTCCACATTGAGATAAGCCAGCTGAGGTGGCTCAGGCATCTGGTCAGGATGCCTCCTGGACACCTCCCTGGTGACGTTTTCTGGGCACGTCCAGCTGGGAGGAGACCCAAGGGAAGATCCAGGACATGATGTAAGGACTATATCTCTCGGCTGATCAGGGAATGCCTTGGGATTCCCCTGGAGGAGCTGGCCCAATGGGAAGAAGGACGTCGCGGCTTCTTGGCTTAGGCTGCTGCCCCTGCGACCCAGAAAAGCAGCTGAAAAAGGATGGGTGGATATTCTTTTGCAGACTTTATTGTGGCTCGAATGGCAGCGTGCACCCCCACAAATTACACATCAAAACGAGCGGCTCGACCGTGGGAGGTGTGTCATTACTTGTCTAAGTGATCCAATTCACCAAGGTGAAATTATTAGCAAATAATTTTGAAAATGTCTCAATTTTGGGCAGATTAAGCTACTCTTCCGAACTCTGAGTGTGTTGCATTTTTAGATTTACATTAGCATTAGTCTTGTGCCAGGTGGCAGACCCCTTTTTAAAATTTCTTCAGGACATTTCTAGTTAATTAACTAATACACACACGGCCAGAACACACATATGGTCAACCCTAAATCATGTTACTGAGGTGATGTTGGGGTGATTTCCCTAAATAATTTTCAGGTGACATAGGGGTGAACACACACTTCCCACCAGGGGTGGACTGGCCTAGCTGGCATTCTGGCACTGTCCCGGTGGGCCGCTTAGCTAAGAGCACCACTTGCCCAACTTGGGCTGACACAGCCCCCCCCCCCCCCCCCCCCCCCCTGCACAGGAAGCCCCACAGGAGGTAACCTGACTCAACAAAAGCTCATATTAGCTCATAAAGCTCCCCAAACCAATTTTTAATTATCCCAATCACAAAGTCTCTGAAAAACAAAGCTCCCAGTAGCTGTAGAGAGCACCAGGCAGAATCTGATCCCCTACTCGAATGGGTGGCAAACACAAGTCTTTAAAGGCTGTTCTGGTAGGATCCATGGAGAGTCACTCGCCATTGTGCAGAACATGCCGTGTAGCAGGCAGGAGATCTGGAAAGCAGTGTGTGCTGGAGCGCCGCTCTCCAGGGTGCTGATCCTCTCGAATAGACTAAACGAGCCTTAAGAGACCATGGGGCCGCTGGACCTTCTCATGATGTGAAAGCAACACCTAGGGCTCGTAACACCAACTAACTAACTAACTAACTAACTAACTAACTAACTAACTAACTAAATAACTAACTACTAACTAACTAACTAACTAACTAACTAACTAAGAAGAATAGATCATTTTTATAGCACCTCTCAAGATAAAAATCACGAGGCACTTCACAAAACAAAAAAATGGAAAAATATAAAAAGAATTTAGAAATGATTAAAAATATATTTGAAATCAGCAAAAAATAGACAATTGTAATTAAAATTTAAAAAAAGCGAGTGAGTAGGAAAGAGGGAAATCAGTGGATCCTGGGGAAGGTGGAATAGGTAGGGATAGCAGAACAAGGAGGGGGTGATGAATGTCACACCAATAACCAACCAACCAACCAACCAACCAACCAACCAACCAACCAACTAACTAACTAACCAACTAACTAACTAAGGAAACTAGACTTCTTTGGTTTCTTGAAAACGTTTTGCTTCTCATCGGAGGAGCTTTGTCAATTCTGACTGGAATATGGGTCAAGTTTATAATCTAATCCAAATTGCCAAAGCTCCTCGGATAAGAAGCAAAACGTCTTGAAGAAACTAGACTTCCATTTGCCTTTATTCAGACCCCTTTAGATCTCCATCATCTGGATGACAGAGAACCTTCACCAGGTAATTTAATGTGGTTTTGGCTTTGTTAAGACT